ACATTACCATCACCCCCCACACCATCACCTCCCTGTCACCATCACCTCCCAGTCACCATCACCCGCCTCTCACCATCACCCGCCTCTCATTCTCACCATCACCCCCCCCATACACACAACACACTTCAAGCAGCTACCCCATACACATAGAGTCTCAGAAAAAAACGCAAACATGCTCACAGAGACATACATTCACACACAAGGATATTCTCTGTCAGAAACACTCTCAGGCACATACACAGGTAAACTGTGCATCAATGTGTATATGTGCCACTTTTTTGTTAGTGGGGCCTCATGTTTGAGTTTCGCCTAAAGCCTCATAAAGTCTAGAGCCGCCTCTGGGTGTCCCAATAGCTTGCATTTAAAAAAAACAAAAATTTTTTGGACTGTAATATAATAGCAGTCAGCTTCCTCCACGCGTGTGCATTTCAGGGCCTGCCAGGGCACAGTGTCACACCAGTGCAACGCATATCTAGTGTAACAGTAGTGTACATTTAAAAAAAAAATTTTTATTTGACTGTAATAGATTGAATAGCAGTTAGTTGTCTGCAAGCGTGTGTGTCAGGCCTTCAGCGTCTACTCTGCCAACTTCTGCCACTACACAGTGCCACTCATATCTGTTGTCATAGTAGCTTGCACGCATAGTACCACTAATCGAAAAAAAAATGACAGGTAGAGGCAGGCCACTCCGCAGGGGCCGTCGTGGTCGTGGTGCTGTGATTCCCTTTGGCCCTAGAATAATGCCCAGTGTTCAGAGGCCACATACCCTGAACTCGAAAAGTTCTGAGGACATAGTTGACTGGCTAACACAGGACACCCAATCTTCTACAGCTTCCGCTCGGAACCTTGACGCACCATCCTCCTCCAGTGAGGTGGGGGGAGGCTGAGGGTGGTGAGGCTGGTGGGTGGAAGGCTGAGGGTGGTGAGGCTGGTGGGGGGGTGGGGAGGCTGTTAGGGGGGAGGCTGAGGGTGGTGAGGCTGGTGGGGGGGAGGATGAGGGTGGTGAGGCTGGTGGGGGGGCGGGGATGCTGGTGGTGGGAGGCTGAGGGTGGTAAGGGAGTCTACCTTCTCTTCCCTGGTGGTCCAGTGGCCACTTCTTCCGGTCTGCAGCTCAGTGTTATATCGCGAGACCATCAGAGCGTTGCCGTGGTAACCCGCGGCAACACTCTGATTGGCCAATTCTCGCGAGACACATGGTCTGCAGCTCTGCTCACTGCGGAGCTGCAGACCTGTGTCTGCGATGGTGGCCGAGCAGCCAGGAGGGGCTTCGCACCCTGCGGCATACCGGGCAAGCCGCCGGGCCCCCTCCTGGTGTCAGGTCCTCTGTCACTGACCGAGGACCTGACACAGTCTTCCATAAGGCGGTTTAGGCGGCCAGCGCAAGGCCTTAGGCGGCCGCCTAAACCGCCTAATTAGAGAGCCGCCTCTGCGGTTGTTTGCGGTGCGTTAAACGGGGAGTTTGGTCTGTCACTGTGAAGCGGGCATAAACCTTACACTACCTGATCGATAAAACATCATACCTGATGTTTTAAAGCACGTTATTCCAAACAATTTAGGAATGTTAGGTGATTTATGCCCTTTATGGATTAAAACCAGACTCTGCATCAACTATGTAATTTTCCATGGGAGTTTTGCCATGGATCCCCCTCCGGCATGCCACAGTCCAGGTGTTAGTCCCCTTGAAACAACTTTTCCATCACTATTGTGGCCAGAAAGAGTTCCTGTGGGTTTTAAAATCTGCCTGCCTATTGAAGTCTATGGCGGTTCGCCCGGTTCGCCCGTTCGCGAACATTTACGGAAGTTCGCGTTCGCCATTCGCAAACCGAAAATTTTATGTTTGCGACATCACTATTGATAAGCCTTCTATGTGCAACAGTGTCAAAAGCCTTACTGAAATCTAGATAAGCAATATCTACTGCACCACCCTGATCTATAATTTTAGTTACCCAATCAATAAATCAATAAGATTAGTTTGGCATGATCTCCCTTAAGTAAACCCATGTTGTCTCTACATCCTCTTTTAAAGAGTAACAGTATATATGTTAGGGCTATATTCAGTGGTCGATGCTAGTGGGTCAGGGCGCATGGTGTTTGAGCCTTATCTTGTGTGCCTCGGACAGTCTCTGCAAGAAGGCGTTGGAGTCCCCTGTGATTGATAGGGTAAGAGCTGCATCTCATTGAGTCACTATTAGGGAACCATATGCTCCTCAGTTGTACTTGATCAGAGACAGTTGTCTTTGTTCCATTGATATAGTAAATGGTAGATCCCCATAGACAGCCCTAAAATTGTACATTTTCCAGTTCTCTGAAGTGGTTCATGATGGCGGTTTGGAACGCAACATCAGTTGTTACCACTATGTTGTCTATTGGAACTCCATGTGGTGCAGCAGCAGCTTTGCATACTCTGAAAGTGGCTGTTATTAGTGCTCAAAACTAATAACTTGAATTCCTTTAATTCTTATTGAAGCTCGGAGCCTTTGAGTGAAGGGCAGCCGTGCATCTCCTCCAACATTCTCTGGGACACCTCTCAGGCATATATATTGTGTCTATGTGCCTGGTTTCAAGTAATGTGACAGATCTGGAAAGCATTTGCACCTACTGGGACAGGCTGTCTACTTGAGTCTGGGTGTTCTGCAGCTTTCTCTTCTGGGCACTTTCTTTAGCTTCCACTGCATCTAGTTTTTGTCTTAGGACTCCCATCTCCGTTTGCGCCTCCAGGTGGTCGGACTTCCAGACCTTCCTCAGATCTGTAAGAGACTTTTTAATATCTCCATTAGTGGCCGGTGAAGAGTCTTTGTCGTAGTCTGAGTCCTGAAAAAAAAAGTGCCGCTCAAGGAGAGGTAAGCTTCTTGTTAGTTAGTTTGCCTCTGTATGATCCCTCTGAGGGCTCCTCCTCAAACCGCGCTACAGTCACCATCTTGGTTGAGCTTGACGAAGCGGGTCTCTCAAAAGACAGTCTGATATCAGGAATTGTCAGGGTGTCAGGGTAATCAAATCGCTTGTCCTTGAATCTCATGTTGTCTCTTACTTAGCTTTTGGGTCTATTTTGCGCCTAGTATTTCGAAGTCCGGATGGAGATCCACAAGAACACATCTGTGGTGTAACTTAGTTAGCCATGACCACCCTAAAATAAACTTTTAAAATATTTTTTCATACAAAACCACCTGAACATGCATAAAAGGGGTCCTGCTGTGGCCAATTCATGCAATACACAAGATCCAACACACTCGCTCATCCACTATACAGCTCAGTATAGTTGTTTTTGTTCTGTTTTTTTAAACACCTAATCTAAGCAAAAATAATGGGGTTTAGTTACATGATCATACATTTCATAAGCCTGTCACAATGTTAATGTACCCCATTCTTGGCAGGTCCTACTCTGACAGCCTAATGTCTTCTTTGACGGTAGAAAGCACAGCAAGCTGTTTTTTTCCGGCTTTAAACGATCCACAGCATCTATGCATTTCGTCTCTGAATTCATCAAGACTAAATACAGAGCACATACGCTGTCATTTATATCCAGAACACTGGGTATTCAAAGGCTCCTGTAAAAACATGGTATGGATCCCTAGAGTACACTAAAAACTAATGTGTTCTAAACCAACATATTTCATACAAAACATAAACATTTTATTATTAATATTATTAATTTAATAAAAAGTAAAAAAACTTTATTACAAACATTTAATATAATAAACCTCAATAAATCTGAAAAAAATACATAAATAAACAAAACCTTATTCAACTCAAAATGGTTTCTATAAATATATAAATATATATATGTGTAACAGATCACCTGGCACCCCGACTGGGTACCTCCGTTGACGGATGCTCCTAGCATTTCCCGAGGACGCCAAGCACTCCACCAGAGACCATAACCACCATAGACCACATGAACCGCCGCAGCTTGATTGGGGTCTCGCCTTCTCCTAACCTACCCTGGACCAACTACAAGGCTCCACGTTCCAGTGGGTGAACCTCTCTTTCCCCAGAGAGTGAAGCAGGGCAGGAACAAGCTCCTAGAAGAGCTTAGTGATTATCCAAGAGAGTGTGAAAAGCATAGGAATCCCTTGTAGCTGTTTCCCCCAATAAGAGACAGGACTCTAAATTGGGGGTGAAGCAGAACTGGTTTAATGAGCACAAAGGCATTTCTTATATACAGTTTTCCCCACAAGGTCCACCCACAACATATCCCCTACATCCCCGGATAGCCCTGATCTGGGTGAACAACATATCCAAAAATCACCCAGATCTGAGCAGGTGTTCAAAAGTTTTATGGAAGTCACATTTGACCAACCTCAAGCATGGCTTTCATGCCCAAAATAGTTCCACAGATTTAGGCTGTGCGGACGGTCTGTCTTCTCCTCTATCCTGCAGATAATTGGCTTAAGTAGCTGTGGTAACTTAATTATCTCCAGGCAGGGCCGGACTGGAAAAAAAATTAGGCCCGGGCATTTTTCAATCAGAGTGGCCCCCTAAGAAGGGGCCAGAGAGTGTGTGTTTTGTCATCACTAATGAAAAGCACGCCCCCTCTCAAAGTGAGCACGTTGGTTCAATGCGCAGAGCTCCGCTGAAGAACTCTGGCATTAAAAAAAGGCCCTGTATTTGTTCTGCACAGTGCAAGCAAATTAAATAACATGCTTGCGCTGTGTTTGCTTTTAAATTGTCTCTGGTGTCTCCACAAGTGGGATACCAGAGGACAAAAGGGCCAGGAAAGTGCATGGTGCATATGTTTGGAGCCTGCTTGTGATATTGCGTGTGTGTAGAGTGTGGTGTGGTATTGTGTAAATAGGTCAATTTCATTTGTGTTTGTAGTGTAATATGTGTGGCTAGGGGCTGTAGAGAGTGTGTGTATAGGGGGCAAAGTTTTATAGGGGATGTAGCGAGTGTGTGCATACGGGCTGAAATGTGTGTGTATAGGTGACGTAGTGTGTGTAGGGGTTGTAGAGAGGGTGTGTTTAGAGAATGTTGTATGTGTTTGCTGACAAGGAATGTAGTGTGTGTGTGTGTGTAGGAGATCTACTGTGTAAAGGACCCAGTGTGTGTGTGTGTGTGTGTGTGTAGAGGATTAAGAGTGCATATAGGGTAAGGGATCTAGCGTGTATCTGGAGCGTAATGTGTGTAGTGGTGCAGTGTGAGGGGTGCTGTAGTGTGTGTGTGTGTGTGTATATATATATATATATATATATATTTGGACGTACTGTATGTGTGAGGGGCGCAGTGTGTGTATGTAAGAAGGGTGCTGTATGTGAGGGTGTTTTTTATCTGCTGTCACATTCTAGGTTTCTAATTTTCTTTGTTATTTTATATATTTGTGTGTGTGTGCTGTATATGTGTGGGAGTGTGCTGTGTGTGTGAGTGAGGGTGCTGTGTGTGTCTGAGGGTGCGCTGTGTGTCTGGGGGTGTGCTGTGTGTGTCTGGGGGTGTGCTGTGTGTGTCTGGGTGTTGTATGTGTCTGAGGGTGCTGTGTGTGTCTGGCTGCTCTGTGTGTTTGGGGGTGCTGTGTGTGTCTGGGTGCTGTGTGTGTTTGGCGGTGCTGTGTGTGTTTGGGTGCTGTGTGTGTCTTGGTGCCGTGTGTGTTTGGGTTCTGTGTGTGTCTAGGGGTGTGCCGTGTGTCTGGGTGCTGTGTGTGTCTGAGGGTGCTGTGTGTGTTTGGGTGCTGTGTGTGTTATCTGAGGGTGCTGTGTGTGTCTGGGGTGCTGTGTGTATCTGGGGTGCTGTGTTTGGGTGCTGTGTGTGTTTGGGTGTTGTGTGTGTGTGTCTGGGGGCTCTGTGTGTCTGGGGGTGCTGTGTCTGGGGGTGCATTGTCTGGGTGCTGTGTGTGTCTGGGGATGCTGTGTGTGTCTGAGGGTGCTGTATGTGTCTGAGGGTGCTGTGTGTCTGAAGGTGCTGTTCGTGTTTGGGGGTGCTGTGTGTGTTTGGGTGCTGTGTGTGTCTGGGTGCTGTGTGTGTTTGGGTGCTGTGTGTATCTGTGGGTGCTGTGTGTCTCTGGGGGTGCTGTGTGTGTCTGGGGGTGCTGTGTTTGGGTGCTGTGTGTGTCTGGGGGTACTCTGTGTGTCTGGGGGTGCTGTGCCTGGGGGTGCTTTGTCTGGGTGCTGTGTGTGTCTGGGAATGCTGTGTGTGTCTGGGGGTGCTGTGTGTGTGAATGTATTTTTTATTTAAATTTAAATATATTTTTTTATTAATAAAAACAAATTATATCCCCCCCTCCCTTCTTACCTTTATACTGGGAGGGGGGGGAAGAGATCCATTCTGCCTGGGGGTGGGGAGCCGTTCTGCCATCCTTCCCTGGTGGTCCTAGTGGTGAGAGTGAACTCTAACCTGCAGGCTAGAGTTCACTCTCGCGAGATCTGAGAGTTGCCGCGGTAACCGCGGCAATGCTCAGAATCCCGCGAGAGGACCCGCGGAGCTGCTGGCTAGATTTCCGCCGGTCCTCTCCTCCCTCTCCTGCTGGTGGCCGCCTGTAACTGCCTGTGGGCCGGTGAAGGAGATCTTTGATCTTCCCACCGGCCCATGGAGGCACACAGCAGTGCTGGCGCTCGGGTAGAGCTGGCCCTGCATGGGCTGGCAGGGGAGATTCTGTGATCCCCCCTGCCGGCCTCGGCACACGGCCAACGCGGCCCCCCGGGCATTTGCCCGGTATGCCCGATGGCCAGTCCGGGCCTGTCTCCAGGTACAGAAAATATCTCTAAGCCCAAAAACTGTTACAAAAACCACATAAAAATACATAACTCATATAATACAATGTTTAACCTATATGTCCAACATATCCCCAGATAGCTTGGATCTGAGCACTCAATATGTCCGAACAGCGCTCAGATGTCACGAATACAGTTGGATCGCCATGTGGTTAACGTTGTCTCTTTTGACCGACCACAAGCATGGCTTTCATTCCCAAAATAGTTCCACAAATTTTGACTGTGCGGCCGGTCTATTTTCAATGTTAAAAGTGCACTATAGAAGGGTGAGGTCATAAAATAGCAAGTACTGATGGGAGATTGAGGAGGGACAAAGCAGCTAGTTTAAACTGGTCTGGCAGTGTCCCTGGGACAACAACCTGCTGGAGAAACAATAGGACAGGAAAAAGGTGGAGGGGAAGAGGCACATTTTCCCATGGATTTAAAGGGACAGAAAAAGTGTTTTAAAATCCAATAAGCCCAAATAGACTTTTTAAATGGCAATACACCCCAGGTGCCATAGTCGCAGGGCAGTAGGCGGGCAAGTAGTCCCCTCCAAAAACTCATGGCAAACTCCCTAAAAAGGGAAGTTTGTCACAATATGTATCTACATAGTTAACTGACATACAACTTAAACTTGTGTTTTTAACTAGCTTAATTAAAAAAATAAGAGAAGTCCATTCCTATATAATTAAGGAATCCATAGCAATCCTGGCTTGATAAGGAAATTACAGATAAATATATATATATAAAATACCAAAATTATAAAACAATAATAAAATGAATACAAAGGGTAATATCTACAAAGACGGATATGAAAATCATATATATAAAAAAAAAAAACATAAAAATCACTGATACTTAATGAGTCTTACCCCAGTCTAACTATATGCACTGAAATATTTTGGAAATCAGCTACACCTCACTGACGAGGCCCAAAATAAGGCTGGAACGATCATCTGGGGTTGCTATAACTCTCATGCAGAGGGAACTTGCTGGCATTTTGGATCTGGACTGCCCGTACGGGTGGGACCAGTCTGATATGCTTCAGATGTGTTTTCTCTGTAATGGCACAAGTGAGATCTGAGCTGGGATGTACCGAAGGGCAAGCTATTAAGTCTCTCTAAGCTGTCTGCATGGAAATATAGCTACGCATCCCCCAGGAAACAATAAGTATAAATGTAACTCTCGCGACTCATAATTCTTAAGCTCTTACTTTAAATGAAAAAGTAAACCAAAACATATCATTATTATTGCTATTTATGTAGCGTCAACAGATTCTGTGGCGCTTTACAATATATATAATAAAATAAAAACATATATAATAAAAAAGAAAATAAGGGAAACCATCAATAGAGATATTGAGAAAATCCTCATCTATGCATAGGCTAAAATTGAAGATTATGCTAGCTTTAGTGTACTTATAATCTTAATTTTAATATTGACAGGAGGCGAGTATTTTGCATTAAACTCTCTTTACTAACTCCACAGCAGCAAAGAAAAGTGAAAACAAGAACCAATCAAAATGCAATAGGAAGTATATTATCCACAATGAACAGGCTCCTCCTCCTCTTTCTTTGCTGCTCCATCAGCAGACAGGTCAGAGTTTTTAGCTATAATAAATAAGAAAAAAAGGGAAACCATCTATAGAGATATAGAGAAAATCCTCATCTATGCATAGCCTAAAATTTATCCATCCATTTACGCCATTGGAGCAGAGTTGCAATATTCACATCAATATCTCCGCTGGTAGTCCTGTATAATATCCAAGAGAAGCGTAGCTCGGCAATCCTATCCAAATTCCCCAATAACTGGACGATACACAGCTTTGGGAGTCAACTGTTTTTTAATGAGCCACAGCTGGCTTTTATACAATTCCCCATGCAAGGGGTGTCTTTAATTACATTCCAGGTGGACTTTGTTGAAGACAGGGAACAAAGGAACATTTCCCAGACTCTTTCTCTGCACTTGGAAGATAATTGAGTAAGGAAAATTCCTTATTTAGATTATCTGCCAAGTACAGAAAAATAAACACTATTTCAAACCATCAAAACTCATATAATAGTAGTCAGAACTGACACTTCACCGAACAGCACGGATCTGAGCGCCCTCTCTGTCGAAATACCATTCAGATCCATTCGGTAGAATAGGAACGCCATTTGAGTGAAGTTTAGACCGGACAACCATGATGTGAAGCCACAAAATAGTTCCAGGTGGTTGTATGCTTTGACTGTTCTTCTTTTGGGAGTTTTTACCATTAAACTAACAAATGCAACTGATCATGTAATAGGTGTTCGTGTGCCTTGTGTTTATTCGTTTCATTCAGTTGAATGCCGCTCTGTATCGGTGAAGAGGAACAAACATACGAGAGGATGGAAGTTTCAGCGGTGTTTGAGCCGTTCGAGTGTCCTATTAGAGTTCCATGTGCTCGACGACCAAACACCGCTGTATGTTCGTGAGCTAAGATGGCCGCCACCAAGTGTTAGGTCAAACGAACGACGGTCCGACCATTTAGAATCTTGTGGTTTCTTGGTGTGAATATAGTCAATTGGAGGCACATAACTCGCTTGGGTGGTCTCATGGTTCGGTAGTTGGTTCGACTGACAAGCAATATGTCTTTAGTCTGTTTGGGAACCCCAAATAGTCAAACCAACACAGTCTTTCATACAAATAAATGGTTAGTTTCGCCACAGCCATTATGGGCTAAGGCAGGGGTGTCCAAACTTTGATGAAGTGAACATGTATGAGGGCCAACCATTTTGCCTGACATTCTTTGAACCATTAACATTGAATGCAAATTAACTATTTTATGCAACGTTTATTTCAAACGGCATACTTTTCATTTCATCTCTTTATTTTGTTTCTTTATTCCGTCTCAAATCTCTTTATTCTATCTCTTCTCTCTTTATTTTGTCTCTTCTCTCTTTCTGTCTCAGATCTCTTCATTCTGTCCCTTCTCTCTTTACTCTATCTCTTCTCTCTTTATTCTGTCTCTTCTCTGTTTCTGTCTCAGATCTCTTTATTCTGTCCCTTCTCTTTTTATTCTGTCTCTCTTTATTCTGTACCTTTTTATTCTGTCCCTCTTTATTCTGTCCCTCTTTATTCTGTTATTCTGTCCCTCTTTACTCTGTCCCCGGACATGCCTGGGCTAAGGAGTTGAGCTTAAAAATCCACTTGTATTCAGCCCTTGTCAGACCTCTTTTCCTTTTCAGCAGATCTCCTTTTGCCAGTATTAAATCTATTCCCACTACTGAAGTAGAAGAGGGATCACTATTATAGGATCCCTCAAAACGTTGTGCTATAGGAGATTGCCTGTCTTTATGTAAGATAGCAAGCCTATGTTCTCTAAATCTGCAATTGAGAAATTGCAGTTCATCCTGTGGGTGACAGTGAAAACGTCCTCACTGTTGCTGGCTCTAAATTTGGAGGACTTATGACTTAAATAACCACAAGTTATGTATCTGCCATGACCACAGCAAACATTTCCAACAATAGATTCCTACTCCACAGAACGAACAGGAAGAGGGGTTACCTGATTTTTTAGATTAGGGGCTCTTCTGAGTGTAAACCTGGGTGCATCTAAAATACAAAATTTGAGCTGTGGATCTATTTTGTGAAGTGGCCAATGTTTGTACAAAATGCTGATAATGTCATCAAATGTTATATAAAAGCCTGTTGAAACGATAGGAAATGTGCCTGAACTGACCTTCTTAGTACTAATGTTATACATTGCCTTTCTTTGCATGTTACTCTAGATTCCCCTACTAGATGCAAAGTAGCTTTATGAAATCTAGTATGACATACCTGGACCGACACAAGGGGCTCAGATCTTAGAGTTTATAAGATAATCTCTCTGCAAAGCACCGGCTTTAAAATAGGCTTGT